CTCGCTCCGGAGCTGGCCTTAAATCGGGCCTGTCCCCCTACAGGGGGGATTCTCGACGAAGAAAAATGCCCCAAAAATTGTCAAAAAATAGTCCAAAGATAGTCTGGGGATCATTTTGTTGGTATTTTTTGAAGATTTGGGGGGCATTCTTTCAGCATGTGTACGTTTTCGCCCAAAAAATCCCCCCTGCAGGGAGACACGCCCGACATAGCCCTTCTCGTTCCGTGCCCCTCGCTCCACAGCTGGCCAGGTGGTGGCAGAACGGGCCCTTCTACCTGAACGCGGGCACCCCGGGCGTGCCCCCGGTGCTCACGAGCGGCCTCCGCCCAGAGACCCAGCGCACGGACAGGCATCCAAGGGCGGAGGTTGCCCGCCGGTTCCGGCCCCTATACAGGGGCCCTCGCCGGGCCTCGGGACCCGTGAGAAAAGGACTCGGGAGGAAGAAAGCCGGTCCTGGGGAAGGGATCGAGACTTCGAGTGGGGGCCGCATGCGGAAAAATCACGACGTCGGTCACCACCCACCAGACCTCCCCAGCCCAGCTCGAAGGCCCAGAGTTACCCTCGATTTCCAGTGGGGGGGGGGTGTCGGGAAACATCGACAAAACACATGTGGAACCCTTACCCCCCCCATCCCGAAATTCGGGCCTTCGTCGGCAACACCCCAACATACTTATACTATATGTGCGTCGCCCCCCCAGGGGCGGCGCACGCACAGAGAAATCTTATAGTATATGCGTCGTGGCGGGCGCTTTCTGGCCACACCGCTCGGGAAACGGTATACTACAAGATGGGTATACTATATGTTCGGGTCGGACGCGCGCCTCCAAGGAGGACATATAGTACTAGTATGTCCATGTGCGTCCCACTTCGGGTTGGGTTGGGGAGGTCTGGTAGGTAGTCCGTCGGATCTCCGGGAGCATCTCCGAGTCCGCGCCCTCGCGGTCGGGGCTCCGGGGGGTGCGATGCCGCGGGCACGCGGTCGCACAGCTGCGGCCCGTGCGGGGCATCCACGAAGAGGCGTCGCGCAATGCGCAGCGTCGCGGCCCAGGGGCCCAGCCCGCGAGGCCGCGGGTACGGATGCCCAGGAGGTCGTCGTCGTTGTCGTTGCGTCGTCGTTTCGTCGTCGTCGTCGTCGTCCTTCGTCGTCGTCGTCGTTTTGTCGTCGTTTCGTCGTCCTTCGTCGTTTCGTCGTCGTCGTCGTCGTCGCCGTCGTCGTCGTCGTCGTCGTCGTCGTCGTCGTCGTTTCGTCGTCGTTTCGTCGTCGTCGTCGTCGTCGTCGTCGTCGTCGTCGTCGTCGTCGTCGTTTCGTCGTCGTCTCGCCGTCGCCCCCCCGAGGTGCCGGCGGACGCGGGCGGGGGCGCGGGCCGTCGGCCGCAGGGTCTGGCGCCCACGGCGCTGCCCGACCCGCGCGCGGGCTGCCCGCGGCGGCGCGCGGCGGCGCTGGGCGCCGAGAGGGGCTCGCCGTGCCAGGATCCGCAGGGGCCACGAGGAAGTCGGCGGCCTGGAGTTTTGGCCTCCCAGATCTGGACGCCCGAAATGGGTACGACAAGAATGGGTGCAATGCCCAACAGCAGTTCCATGTTCAGTTTGGACAGGATTCGCTGTCCACGCCGCCGCGGCCTGTGTCCATTCGAGACAGAAGGCCGCCTGCCCAACAGCGGCCGCTGTTGGTTTGGGACAACATTTGTTGTTGGGTATTGTGCCCATTGGTTCCGTACCCCTTTCGGGCGTCCAAGACCAGAAGTCCAACGTATTGAAAAAAAGTCAAGACGGAGGTTCTTCGCCAGCCTCGGCCCCCTATAGGGGCCCTCGCCGGGCCTCGGGACCATCACCAAAACGACTCAGGATGAAAAACCGGTCCTGGGGAATGGATCGAAACTTCCGGGGACCGCGTATCGAACAAATCGGGGGCCTTCAAGTTTGGTTTACCTTGTGCTGTTCCAACCTAGTTATAGTTTAGCCTTGACAATCCGAAAGAATTTCGAGCGCCACAACAAGTGCCGAAACTCCAGGGTTCTCACGTGTCGGGCCCTGGGAGACACTCGTCCGACACTGTTTCGACACCCTTTCGACATTTTCCCGGGTGCTCGAAATTACTTTTGGGATGCGGTCCTTACGTACGGTGGGAGCAGCATAAGGCTTCCCCTGAGATCCTGGCGTTGCAGTTTATGCACACCGGGCGTTTTCGCTCGCGTTCCCGGGCCCCGGGGCTCTCACAGGTCGGTCTGGTTCGAAGAAGTGGCGCAGAGAGATGGGGCCTGGCGGTCGGGTCGCGATGTCTGTTGGGCGATGCTCCCACCTCTCGGCAGCCTCGGACCTCAGGGTGGCGGGTCGCGCCGCCGGTGCTGGCCCACCGCGCACCACGCCGCGGCGCGACACACCCGCGCACGTCCCCCATCTTCCGAGCGTCCACGCCCCGAGCGCTCCCCGGCCGCCCGCCCCTCGGAGCGGCGCGGCACGCTGCCGCCTTGCAGGGCATGCCGTGCCGCCCGGGGCTGGG